GTTTAATCTTCAACAGCTGGGGAGTGAGGACCTGATCCTGATTTCCAAACCACTATCAACATGATACACAATAAAGCTGTGGGAAACCTACCAAAAGAGCTTGACAACAATAGAGAACTTGTTGTTATTATTGTTTTATTAAGTGGAGAGGAAGCTGTACAAGTTTTGTTTTGTTTTTAATTTTATAATGATTCTCCTGAACAACTTCATAGAGGCCAGACTGTACCCCTGGGTTCAATCCCCAGTACACAATAAATACAGAGTAAAGCCCAATAAGTAAAAACTTTGACAGCTAACATCTAACATGACAATGAAAAAGTAGAGGGAAGAGGTCAGGAAGGTCAGCAGGTAAACAGCTATCAATCCAGACAGGGAACACACAAAAGGGAGCAAAAAATTCTTACTGGGGAGGGATAGAAAAGGCTCTACTGAGGTGACAATTGGGAAGGACCAACAATAAGCAAAGACAAGACTTTGAGCAGAGGAAACATTAAGAGCCAAGGTTCATAGCATAAACTATCCATCATCCCTTTCTGTCTTCTATGTCTTGTGTGGAAAGGAAGATACTTTCAAAAGGCGGATGTGCCTTGGAGTAAAGGTGGCATCAGGAGTCCTGCCATGTGAGGATGGAAAAACAGGTTGGGCCTGGGTATGAAAGGTCTTGGGTGCCAATTTATAATTTACCCTGGGTGCAGTACTACCATCTTGAAAATTAGAAAAGGGAATCTTGCCATAAGATGATTCTGGCAGTGGGGAAGAGGTGGAGAAAAGAAGGAACAATGGGAAGGCTGCAGTCCAAGAGGAAGCTATTGCTGTAGATTGCGTGAGAGGAGATTAGAAATGGATCAGGTTCAGACATTGATAAAATCTGGGGTCAACGTTCCCATGGCCTGCAGAATGCGTTCTAATAGGAGCATTGTGTTGGTGTGCAGTGCACAGCTCATCTTGATAAATGAGCCAAGTTTAGTCTGATTCTGTCATTTACTCTCTGTGATTCTGAGCAAAGAATATAAAATGATTATAATGCCACTTACCACTATTTTTTGAAAATCAAATATGCAATTATGTGAATCTAATATGGTGCCTTGCACAAAATAAGTAATACTTACCTTTTAGTGCCCTTCAGCTGGTGTTAAAGACCTGCTATAATATAACATGGATTTTTCTGGGCAAATGACCCACTCTTCCTGAACCAAGCTCTTCCTTCCAATAATGCAGGTTTTTACAATTTCTCAAACATCTTTTATTTTTTCTCATCTCTAAATCTTTGTTCGTGCTACTTCTTTTCTTGAAATACCCTTCCTTCCTACCTCATCCCTGCATAGGAAAGTTAATTCTACTTACAGACTGCTTCAAATAGTACCTCCTTTACGAATCCTCAATTACAACAGGAAGCAATCATTCTCCCAAAACACTTCATTGGAATTACTTTGATGGTCTCTACATCATGCTATGCTGCACTTGATTTGGCTATTTTGGATATGTTTTCTCTCTCCTCTGTAGCATCTGGTTGATTTTTCTATTCATTCTATCACTTAATTCAAGGTACAGTATTATCAAAAGTAGATATATAATAAATTAATATTCTTGACTTGGAAGATAAGAAGAAAGCAATCATCAAGTGCAAATCATCGTGGGAGTGGGGGGAGGATGTTATATGTCCTTGCTAATTAGAAAATTAGTGGCAGTGTGCCCCTGGAAAACTTAATTTTATGGCCTTCATTTCTAGATCCACTTTTGTAACTTATAGTTCTACTGGACCACCTAAGTATGGCAAAATTCATCATATAGGGCCTGGAAGGAGGATTTTAAACATCTTTGTTGTCTGAGCTTTTTATATATATCCAGATATTTTAAATCTAAAGTCTTAATTTAGGTGAGTGGAAAAGAATATTTCCAATAGACTTTTAATGCTATTTCTGTAATAAAAATCTGGCTTGACAAATAAAATCATAATCTAGGCTATATAGCAGATTGTTTCAAAATTAAATTATCTGGGCTGGGGAAATAGCTCTGTGGTAAAATGCTTGCCTAGCATGTGTGAAGCCCTGGGTTTAATCCTCAGTACCATAAATAAATAAATAAATAAACAAACAAACAAACAAATAAATAAATAAATAAAAATTGAAATTAAATAATCCCCCCCAAGTGTTGGGTATTGAACTCAAAGACTCCTGCATGCTAGTCAATTGCTCTACCACCCACCCTCATCTCCAATCCTAAATTGTCTATCTTCTACCTTGTGCTTGATTTTGTTGTGAACCTGAAACTGCTCTGAAAATATAGTCTATTGAAGAAATCAAATTACCTGATTAAGTGACTTAGGTAATTGCAGGCTGGTTTTTCCTGCTGCTTAGTCTTCCCATAATGCCTTGTGCTGTACATAAAGAACTACTAATTAATTTCATAAAGTTAAGCCATGAATACTTAATAAGTCAAAATCTTTCTTGAGTGGGGGGACTTTTATTTATTTATTTCTGTTTATGAGAATGTATTTATTCAACATGTTCATCAATACTATTTAATTTGTGTATATGATGTGATATTATTTCACATCATCTAATTTCCAAAAATTTTGCGTTTTATGATTATTGAATACTTAGATTTTTTTTAAAGTGGCCTTTCAAGTAACTTGCCTGCTTTTTTTTAGAATTTTTATTTATTTATTTATTTATTTTTACCATACAATTTATTTTTATTTTTTTTAGTCATACATGACAGCAGAATGTATTTTGACATATAATACATACATGGAATGTACATACATCAATCATAATGTCTATTCTGCTAGTGGGGGGACTTTTAATTCATTTTTTTTTAGTTTTTTTGCTTTGAGTTTTAACTTCTTAAATGTTCATGGCTTAGCTTTATGAAATTGGTCCTTATTTATATCAAAAGATATTATGGGAAGATCACGCAGCAGGAAAAATCAGCCTGCAATTAAAACTTAATTAGGTATCAGAAAAACTGACATTTAAATACTGGACAACTGGAGGTAGTTTTTCTTAAAATTTTGTGAAAGAAAAAGCAACTCAAAAAATGCCCTATGTTTGAATTTTAAAATGAAAAAAAAAAGACTCTACATACCATGGTTTATGTGAAAGATGTTTAATTTTTTGAATAATATTAAATAAATTATTGTGCAGTTCAGTAATACAATAAGCACATATGGAGTTGACCTTTTTAAAGGCACTTCTGGTACAATCACAGTAAAGTAACACAGTAAATCATCGCACAGTAATTTACCTTGGCACCTTATAATATGCTCTGCTCATTTCACATTGTTCTTCAATGTTCTTCAGAATATTGCTTCATTTTATAAACATTTCAAAGACCCATCTTAAAATGTACCAATATCAATTGACTTATTTTTATTTACTATTGAGTATATCACTGATGAATCACATTTAAAAGACATTTTTAAGTGTTCTTTGTTCGTGTGCTAAACTACTCATTCCTTCACAGTCATATGAAAGTGTTTTAAATAGCCAAAAGTAAAGGCAGTGGAACCTGTGATATAAATCTTCTAGGAATAACAGTTGTATAAGCTACAGATGTCTGTTACTTCTATTATTCATTCTTTTAAGTGATGTTTTTATATTATTATTTTTAATTATATAATTTTGAGTTACATAATTTTACAAAGAACACTTTACATTTTTTTAAGAAAACAGGCAGGATCTAATTTTTTTATAAAAATATAATGATGTAGTGTTAATTTCCTGATGCTAAATTAAAATCAAACACGTTCTCTAAAGAACATCTGCAGTTACTATCAGGTTTATCATAGATACATATAAGAGAACATAAGTATCAGCTCATCTGATTAGACTAATTTTCTTATAAAGAAAAACACTTTTGCACAAAGAAAAATATCTTTGCACAAAGATACTATTGTATGATTAAGGTTGAAACCCAACTATCTGAACAAAAATGCTCAACAAATTTTGTGCATATATTCTTTCATTTTTAAGTTTTGAATAAAATTAATTTCAAAATACTAAGTATAAAAGTTATGACATAAAAGCTATGTTGAATATGAGGGATAAGATTATATCTTTATTGATAACTAAAATACTCTTTGACATAAACTAGAATATAAACAGCACATCCCAACTACAAATTTTTTAAGTAAATATAAATTATGAGATTTAGAATATATTGATATAATAGTAAATCTAAATTGTTTTATGAATAACCTGAAAAATACTATATGTAATTGATAATGATTTTTAAAATATAAACACTTCCTTTTCTTTGTGTAGTTCTATTGATTATTCAACTAGAAATTGTTCCTATAAAAGACAATTAAACGTTACTCACTCTCCAAATATCTGTGTAGTCATGATAAGAATAACCATGAACAGAGGTCAAAATTATATTTTTTTATTTATTTGAGAATAAATTGAAAGCCAACTGTGCCTGAAATATTTTATAAATATGTTTCAATTATATCAATATCAGTAATTTCCTGGAGACCTATAGATGCTAAATAGAATAATATGGCATAAAAATTCTTCAGTCAAAAGTTTCTAATGTGCAAATATGCTAAATAGAATTTCCCTGAGATGAGCCATCAGATGGCCCATAGAAATAGCCATAAAGCTGTATTGAGATTTTATTCTGAATTATAATTTAATCGGGCACCAAAAATTAGTGTTAATAGGTTTACACCATCAGTTGATTTGTATAGTATTTCTTTTCACTGGACTATTTATAAATCTAGTACCAAACAAATGTAATCAGAAAATTTGTTTAAAATTAAACTTTCCAGAAACATACAAAAATACATATGAACAGTCACTTGAGAAATGTGTAAGAATCAGCAATCTCTTCTGTGCCTTTCAAATATACCAACATTTAATTACTTCAAAGTTTTTTTAAAAAAATACATTTAAAAAGTAAAAAAGCCTCCCACATGCCTATATTGCTCATATAAGAGATTTTAACATTTTCAAAGATAAGACAAGCATGAATTAGTTTAAAAGATTTGTTCTTTATCTTTCATTATGTAATCAGATAGGATCTCTCTCACATATTTTTATGAGGAAGCCACTCATATGAAATAGCTTCTTCTCATTGAATGGTCTCAGAAATGCTGCTGAGATAATCTTCAGACTTCATTATAAAATTTGTCCACTCTTGACAAATGTCCTCCATGGAGAGTTCTTCACCACCATATTCCAGAGGAAGAATGTCAGGAAAATACTGAAGTAGGCTTTGTTTGTAATTGTTCCCATGCATGTGAATCTGAAATAGTCAAAATGTTTTAGAAGGTGTCCCCTCTGCCTCTCACTAATTAGATGCAATTCCAGGGGCAAAATTAACCTCATAAAATGAGACACTCTAATAACTTCCAAAGTAGTAGGGTATGTACTATTTCTATTATTTTGCTTGTGAATCTAAGAATTTTATTTATGTTTAGATTATGGTGTTGTAAATCTAATAATTGTATTACTTTCTTAGACGTGCATTCTCTTAACCTCAGAAGATAACAAAAATGTCCTACTTGGTATTAATTCAAATAGAAGCATACTTCTGAGCCCACAGTTAGGTTCATGAAGAATGATTCATATGGTATCGTCAATGTGATACTCTTGGCTAGTTCAAAAGTAGGAAATTATGATTGTTGAGAACCTTTGATTTTCAAATATTTTAAACTTTAAAAGTTGATCATCCAGGGCTGAGGTTATGGCTCAGTGGTAGAGTGCTTGTCTAGCACATGTGAGGCCCTGGATTCGATTCTCAGCACTGCATATAAATAAACGAAATAAAGGTCTATTGACAACTAAAAAAATACTAAAAGAAAAATTTTTTTTTTTAAAAATTGATCATCGAATGGCCTGAAGTTAAGATAAACCTGTAGAAACTAAGAATACATGTTGCTAAAATAAATAAATAAATTTTCTCTTATTAAGGCAAAATGTTTATCTGTGCATTCAACAACCATTTAATAAGCACCAGGATATGAGGACCAATGAATGAAACGAGAATCCTACACTGAGGAGCCACACAACCTCAATTCTTGATTTTCTCTGAAATTTTAAAAATACTATCAGTTAACTGAGGAGAAATTCTGTCAGATCAGGAAAGGAGAAATATGAAAAGTGGAGTATTGCTGAAAAACTGAAAGGGAAAAAAGTAGATTTGTTTTCTCCCCTATTTTGGCAAGTTTCTTCATGTTAACTTTCACCGCTTCCCTTAGCTTCTCAATTTTTAAATTTTTTCTTTCTTTTGTGTACATACACTCTTCTTTAAATTAAGTCCAGTTTTTTTTTTTTTTTTTTTTACATTTTTGCTTGTACTTGCTCAGGATATAAACTAAAATAGAAATATTTATTTTTAGATCTTTAAAAGTTAAAGAGAGGTGGTTAGCTGTTATAAAGCTACATTGGAAAGAAAGAAAAAAAATGAAGAAACAACAAAATTGGCTTTTATAAAAATACTAGAATGAACCCGGCATCAAGGGGCACACCTGTAATCCCAGTGGCTCTGGAGGCTGAGGCAGGAGAATCATGAGTTCAAAGCCAGCCTCAGCAACTTAGCAAGGCCCTAAGCAATTCAGTGAGACCCTGTCTCTAAATAAAATACAAAAAGGGCTAGGGATGGGGCTTAGTGGATAAGTGCCCCTGAGTTCAATCCTTGGTACCAAAAATAAATAAATAAAATTTTAAAAATGAAAACACTAGAATGAAAAGTAGCTATCATCACTAAAGCAGATCATTGAGGGGTGGTTCTTGAAGAAAAATAGAAATACCCACCAGATAAATAAGCTCTATGGTCATAGTTTTCTGTTCAAGTACAAAATGTTACATTTCCTTAAAATGAAAGAATATAGTTTCTAAAATTCAAACATAGCATGATAATCCATGGTGTCACATTATATTTAAATAATTTGAGATTTAATTTGTCTAAGACTTTAAAAATACTTGGTGGTCACACACAGTGGCATGATGGGACCTGTAATTGGGGCTACTCTGGAAACTCAGGTAGGAAGATAACTTGAGCACAAAAATTGAAGACCAACCTGGGCAACATAGCAATACCCTAAATCATATATCTCAGAATTCTCTACAGATTAATGTAGAAGAGTGGTTGCTTTTCTTGAGAACTCAGATTCCATTTTCAACCTTTCAAAAATTCTAAAAAGTATTAGATATCCATCTGAGATAAAGCTCTGTAGGATATGCTAAAAAAATCACATTTTTTGCTTTAATTCACATAACATTAAGTCCTATATGTCAGGCACTGTGGTTTTCAGTTACACATTTTTAATTAAGAAAAATACCAATTTTAGCGCAGGGATGTAACTGAGTGATAACATGCACAAGGTCCTGGATTCAATCCAAACAAATAAAATTAAGAAAGAAAAATATGCATTTTTGATTTGCATAAATAGCACACTAACATGGTTAGAAATCAAAACAAGATACACAGTGAGATGTCTTGCTATCAACCCTATCCTCATCTATGCTTGGCTACTACACCTCTATTCTATTTAATGTAGGTGAGAACTTATTTTCTTATATATCTTTTTAGTATAATTTTATACAAAAATAAGGACCTATTCTTATTCTCCCCCTTTTATTAAAAAAAAAATTGCATATCATCAACCCTTTTTTTCATTTTGTGCATTTCACTTTACAATACATCCTGCAAAACTTGTTGCATTCCTTTGTGTGAACGTATCATAGCTTTTTTAAAACTCACTTTCCTGATGTTGAATACTTGGTAGTTTTCAACGTTTTCCTGCAATGAATATTTCTATAGAATTTTGTTTATGTACAGACATATCTGTAGGATAAATTCCCAAAAGTGCTATGGTTGTGATTTTGATAACTGCAGACACACTGCCCTCTACAGGGAATATACAATTGTGCAATCCAACCAGGGATGTATGAGTGACCCAGTTTTCCCAAGGCCTTGTAACTAATATCCTTTTAATTTACAAAAATAGTTGGTTTGATAAATAAATATTCAAAATATTGAACTAATGGAGAGGGTGGGTGGATATGGGGGGAGATAATAAAGCGATCCTTAAATGAAAAAGGTTGGAATATTTGATGTAGAAAAATAGTAACTTGAATGTGTTTTACTCACTCGCTCCTTAATCTTTTCAGTCAGGAATGGTTTAATCATGGAAAAGACAGCATGAAAAATTACTGGCTCATTTATCAAATGGATGCCACGAACTTTCAATGGAAAGGAGTCCTTCGGAAAATAAAGAAAAAAATCATCTTAATGAAACACAAATTAGTATTGCAATTATGTTCCTAAAACAAGGCTCTTCTTTAAACACTTTCCAAATTTACAACAGTACTTATTGTGTTATTTTGTTTCCAAAATTATTTATTCCAGCAACACAAAAGTCTAATTGATACTTCACTCTCACTAGATTAAGAAAAATCTTAAACAAGCATAGGCAAAGTATTATAATATTTAATAGTTCTCCTATAAAATACTTAACACTTTTTCACTAGAAATCCCTTCTCCCCATCACATTTTATTAGGGAACCAATGACTAATTTGGACAAATATAATTTAACTTTTTTGCCAACATTTTTTTGAGAGGTAAGTAATCAAAAGTTCATAAAAATTGAAAAAACATAACACACACTTTAGGTACTGGTATATATCTTTAGCATCAAAGTAATATAGGCTTATTTAGAAGGTTTAAAAAGTTAAGAGTTGAAAGAAAAAAAACTTATCAATAGTTTCCCTATCTAAAAGTTATATGGTCAATACACAGACCTTTCTTCTTTCTTTTCTTCTTTTTTAATGCAAAGCTCTTTTTCATGTCTAGCTTTTAGAGACGTGTTATTAATTTGTTTTTTTTTTCTTCCAGGCTCTTTTTATATGTATAAAAATTATATGTACTTTAAATATAATTGCTAATAGGCTCCCTAAATAATTTGTATACTGTTATGTTTAATTGTTATAATATATTTTTTATGTGGTCATTATGCATTTTAATACTGTTATAGTGATCCATCAAATGGATATACCACCATTTAAGTGACCATTTTCTTATTTCTGGACAAATAATTATATATATATATATATATATATATATATATAT